GCGGCCGACCGCACGCGACCGACGTCACTCGCGCCGGCGCCGAAGAGGCCGTCGGGCGCGTCGCTCGCGCCGGTGCCGAAGAGGCCGCTGGACATCAGGCCGCTCTTCTCGAGTCTCTGGAGGTCTGCGGCCGACCGCACGCGACCGCGGTGCAGCCGCGGCGCGTCCGCGGCCGGCGGCGTCGCAAAATGAGGCGACTCCGGCTCGTCTGCGTCGGCTGATCGGTCGGCACGGACGTCGGCCTGGCGGTCGGCTGATTTGTCGGCGCGGCCGTCGTCGGGTCGGTCGTTTTGTCGGTCGTTTTGTCGGTCGGGGCGGTTTTCGGAGTGTTTTTCGGGCGTCGGTTGGGCGTTGAAGCAAAAGGCGTCGAAGTTGGACCGGAGCTCGCCAAGGAGGTCGAGGCCGGCAATGCTGGACCGGAGCGAGTCTTGATGCAATTCACAAAAGGACCTCACGCGGACGCGCGCCGGCGACAACGCGGGCGAAATGGCCGCCAAGCGCGCGGGGCCGAGGACGGACGCTGCGGCGGCGGCGAAGCGCCGCATGGCCGTTTCGTCTCTTACGTCGAACGCTTTTACGCAAAAAGTCGCCTGCGCGTCAAACGGGTCGGGCCTTACGGCGTGGCCGCCGCAGCCTTCGTCGAGTTTGTTGAGGAGCTCCAAGACGCCAAAGACGGCCCCGAAGCTGTCGAGGAGCGGCAGGCCAAGAGCGGACGCCGTGTCGTAGCCTCTTAAGGCGTCGAACCGCCCATCAAACAGCGGCGAATCTGCAGTGTCGTCGACGCGCGCCGCTTGTCCCCCGGAAAGCGCGTGGCCCGCGACGCCCTCGCCGGGGAGCCATTGCGGCGGAGTGGAAGCGTAGCGCGCCGTGCGCTGCGGCGAGGGAGTGCTCGCCGCGCGCGCGACGAGGCCGCCGCCTTCGACGAGGTAAACAAAGGAGACGTCGCACTTCGCTTGAAGCCGCGCGCCGGAGCACACCGCGTCGAGCAAGGCCTGCAAGGTCGTAGGTATCTGCTTCAAGCGAAGCGCCTCGAGCGCACCGCCGAGGGCGCAATCGGCCGACGGGAACGCGTCTTCGACGGCCTCGAGCGATTCAGTGACGTCGGCGTCGAGGCAGACGTCGCCACCCCTTCGAGCCGTGCCGCGGTTGCGCAGGCGCTGCCCCGCGCCGTTCCGGCGGCCAGAGTCCGGGTCGGCGCCACTGTTGCGGCGGCCAGAGTCTGGTTCACTGTTGCAGCGGCCAGAGTCCGGCTCGGTGAAATGCGCGTACCGCCGCTCTCGCGGCGCGGCGCCCGCGGCGTCGCCGGCATCGACGCCGGCCGTTGCGGGCAACCAGAGCCGCTCGGGCGCCCACTGCCGCTCGGGCCCCCACTGCCGCTCGGGCCCACGCATCATGAGCAACGGCCGGCCGCCCACGCGGCGGGCTATATGGCCCTCGAGCTGCTCGCCGAGGGCGACGTTTAGAGGTGGCTCGTTTGAGTGTTCCACGCGCCGGAAGCAACTAGATTGGGTGGACCACGCGCCAATTAAGCACCAAATTTCAAAAATTGCGGTTCGTGCTAGGTTATGGTAAACAGCCAAAATTGTCGACGTCGTTTGGCCCATTGAAAAGATATTTAAATATTTACGACCAGGTTCTGAAATATTGAAGAGGTGTTTTGTTTAATTCAAACAGAAAGTCTCTCGTTATTTTGATGAATTTACATATAACGGCTCAAACTAACCTCATATTGCAGTCAAGCGTTCAACGGAACAACCGCAACACTGCGCGCTTTCCGTTCGACGGCGCGGTCGCCGCGCGTCTGCGTGGCTGCTTCGAACAAAGAGGTTGCTTAGACAAGTCACAGTTGAATGGGAAGGATACAATTCCGCCGTTGAGCGCTCGAGAGTTGGCGGGCGGCGGTGTTTTCGTTCCAATGGGTCTGCGGGGCCGTCCTTTGGCGGACCGGGCCCGCCGCGGCCGCGGGGCGGCGCCGTCAAAGGGTCGGGGTCTGTTTGAGCCAGGACTGCATGTCGGCATCCGTCATGTCCGCCATGACGCTCAAGGTCAAATCCGTCATGTCCGCTATGACGCTAAAGGTCAAATCCCCAGCTTTCCCGCTGCGGTGGTGCGCGCTGCGCATGACTTCCTCGTGGCCGCGCAAGTCCTCGACGAAGCGCGAGTTTCCGGCTTCTAAACGACGGACGACGTAGACCTGATAGAGGAGAGAGAGCTCGGCGTCGATCCATTTCGCCAGCTTGGGCACCGCGGCCGCCGAAACGCCGTCGAGTAAATCGGGCGCGTCGTGGCTCGAGGTGCAGACTGCCCACGCCATTTGCGCCAAGCACGCGGCCGGGAAAGCTGAAAGGTCGCGGCGCAAAGCCTCGGTAGTCAGAATGTGAAAGAGTTGGGGCGCGCGGACGCCGGCGCGCGCGTACGCCCATAAAAGGTCCGCGAGCTCGCATTCGATGCACGCCGCCACGACCTCTGGATTGGTAACGAGGTGCTTCGCCGCGGCGTCGAAGAGCATCGGCGCGTCGACGCGCACCGTCGCCGCGGCCCAGAGCGTCATCGAAAAGTCGCTCGGTTTCGCGCCGTGCATCTTTCGCGGGAATTCGGCGGAAACGGCTTCGAAGAGTAAAGGCGCCTCGACGCCCGCCTTTGCGATGGACCAAGCCGTGAGCGCGAG